CATGTAAGCTTCGCCCCACCTGCCTTTTGCAAATAGTCCATCAATGGTTTCCATTCTTTAAAGTAATAATTATTTGAATTTTCTTTTAATAAACAAGTCAGTTTATCGTTTTCTGCCATTTCCATCAGGTGTTATCTTTATAATTTGGTCACACCAACTTCCCACAGTAAATATACTAGTGTCTACCTCAGTGTAGTATATTGGCTCCGCTGTTCAGCTTGATGGGTTGATTATGTGGCATCAAGTCGGTGTCAACTCTTAGTGACCACATAAGTAGATTTTTCTCCAGGATGATCTGTCCCTAACCTGGTCCTTCAGGCCTTCCAATGGAGAACCCATCACCACTGTTACTGAGTCCATCCACCTTGCCGCTGGTCATCCTCTTCTCTTTCATTCCACCCTTCCCAGCATTTGAACCTTCTTAGAGAGCTAGGGCTTCACATAATGTGTCTGAAGTAGGATAATTTGAGCTGGTCATTTGTGCCTCAAGTGAGAACTCTGGGTTGATTTGCTCAATGATTTATTTGCTTTCTAGTCTGTCCATGGTATTCTCAGGATTATTATCTGACACCAGAATTGAAAAGCGTAGGCTGTTGAACTAGAACTGTGGAAATTTAGGTTCAAGTCCATCCTCAGCCACAGAAAATTGTTCAATGACTTGGAGCCTGTCATTCTGTCTCAGTCAAACCTATCTCACAGGGTTGTTGTGGGGAAAAGCATGCCATCTTGAGCTGCTGGAGGAAAAGTAGGATATCAATCTAGGGAATAAGTAAATAAATAAAGCAGAAGTTGAAGGATGCATAGTCATTTCTAGGAAGTGACTTCTTGGCAAAAGTATTTGCAGCAACAAATGCCAAAGAACTGTCCTATAATTTCATTTGTAGGGCTTTGTGTAGATTGAAGCAATTTATTTGAATCATTATGAATGTTTGACTCTTCTTAAAAATGTTGAACTGGTATAGGAGGGTTTTTGCTTTGGGGCATTTTTCAGGAATGGAGGTTACAATAGAAGTGAAATTGGTTGCTCTATGTGAAATTGGCCCACATGCTCTACTCTTCAGGATTTTATTAAGCCTCAGGTTACATCTTGTAATGCCTAAGTAGACAGCTGCTAAATCACCCAACTATTACCCCCAATATGTGACAAGATTACCGCTCCCAGAATTCCCAGTAAGTGAAATTGTTGGCCAACTCTCAGAATCCCTAGTGAACATTGCAAATGCTGCCTGTGATATTTGCAGGGCACCAAGTTGCTAAAAGCTTCCCTAAGGTCAGGTGGTATGGCTCATCCTTCCCCTAGATCTTGATTACCTAGAAATCCTTCCTGCTTTAAGCATGAATTTTACTGAAACAAAAAAAACTATTAAGCCTTTTTGAGCCTCCTTATACAGAAATCTCCTTAGATAATCAACAATTTCCTGGACAGGTCTGCAATCCTTCACTTGACTCCATCAGGAACAATTATGAAAAAAACTGAGATAGAGTTTGAAAATTTAGCATATACAGAATATCACATCAATGTTTCATGTTGTTTTTAAATATTCACTGGCTTGAATTTTATTTCTGAACCCAATTTCTTCAGAAATTAGTAAGATCTAAAAAGCTCCACCATGCATCTGGTGAGCTGTCTTCACCTATGTTAACCTGCCTCTTTGCTAATATCTTTTTCAGAGATGCTCTTCCATATTCCCTCACTGGAATCCTAATTATTTCTTTGCCAACTGCTATGGGAGCCCTTTTGAGATGGAAAAATGTTTTAAGTGAAGTTTTTGTCTTCTGGATGCAGTAACAATTAATTAAACCGTGAAGTGTTGAAGTAAGAACCAGTTCAGGCTACAAATTGCAGCCAATTCCCATTTCCAACAAAAATCCAAGCCTGCAAAATTCTGAGTGAGATCTAGTTACAATGAACTTTTAGGAGATGTTCAGAAGGAGAAAGCAAGTATCCAAATTCAAAGTAGAAAGGCTGGGCAGGACTTTGGTGCAAACTCCCGGAAACAATGAAATGTTGACCAAAGTCTGAACAGACTCAGTTAGCCTTCCCCAAACTAGATCTCCATGTTATTATCTACAGTTCCCATAATCCCCAGACATCCCAGAGATGTTGGGAGTTGTAGGCAGCAACATTTGGATGGGCCTGAGAGGTGGAAGTCTGGTGTAAATAGTGAAGCAGTCCTACTGAGTCATCTTTATACATAAAGCACAGTCTCCATTTGCAACTTTGAATGATCTGTTGAAGCTAGTTATAAGAATTAATTATCTTGGCATATGCCAGTGGCCCAGCAGGTTGCCATCCCAATTTTTAACCCTGGCACACAATAACATGGCTGACATCCATTTCTGTTTAGATGCTTTCCTAAAGCTTATGTCTTTTGTGGTTACTCAGAACATTTTGGAATGAAGATAATGGAATCAACTTCACAAAATCCAGTATAATCTAGCATTCATGCTCCAGCTGTCAGACAACAAAATGATAACAGATGCTGAACAAGGCCTCCATGCCTCAACCCCCCCATCAAAATAGGCTATATTCAGTAGCCAGCTGTTGCTTCAACACAGGCAGTAGAAGAGAGAATAATATACTTATTAGAAAGGATGGCTTCCTTTTTTAATATATACATAAGGGTGTTTGTATGTGTTTATCATGAACTTGGTTTAAGAAGCCAACTTATCCAACTTCTTTCAATCTACTTGTTTCATAAGGAGTCATTTAAGCCTCATTATTTCTAACATGTACTCTTAGCAACCTGAACAATTTTTCTCCCACCAACTTCTTACAGAATTGAAGAAGATGAAGCTAGAATCCTTTTTTTGAGGTGCTAAGTAAGCTCTACAGAGAACATTTTTCTTTCATATGGAGAAGCATCCCAAAGTGAAATCCTACTACTGTTTCATGTGGTACAGTCCCAGCACAATTGTACCATGTGCTTTTGCTGACTGTGTAGCTTATTTTCAATATGAACCTCCTTAATTAGAGTCAGAAAACAAGATGGTCTTGGAGGAAAGCACATAAGAGTACCTCTTCTTCAAAAGTCTACTCTCTATTGGCCAGAACTAGAACTTGGTTTATTGGATAACAGTAAACATGGTATACATTAGCTTTATCTCCTTTCCCATAAAATGAAAGGAAGTATCCCCCCGCCCGCATGAAATGTAACAAGGGTAACTTTGTACATTACTTTTATAGAAGTGCACTTTGGAGTGATAGTTCTTCCAGTTTAACTTAAACCACACCACGACCCTTGTCTGCTGCATAACATGCCCACATGCCAATTCTCCATGTTCCTATCACCCTGGACTCCCAACCTGCATTTGCATAATTCCTACAGCCCCATTTGGAGGACATGTTTCCAGAATGAAAACTGTCAGTCAGAGAAGGATTAATCACTTGCTGTTTTTTTCATAGGATCTACTCCATTCCTAGAGTACGCTAGACTAAACTTTATACACAACTGTAATGAGAATTTATTTACACCTGAAGCTATCTGTTAAGTCACATGGCAGACCACCATTTGGTGGCCAGGGGTTGTCTTTTACTTAAAAAAAAGTTTTGTCCTTCATGTGCTGAGGGGCCTTATACAATGACAAGATGACATCATCAGATTGATTAACTAAAATGGTTAGTCTTTGTTTTAGAGGATGGGGTTCCAGGGGATTTCAGTTCAAAACAAGTTTGTTAAGACATAACACACTTCATTAGTTTTAACAAATTGCTTTTTTACCATCAAAAGAAAGAGAACAAAAGAGCACAAAAACCCATCACCAAAACAACAGCCACACTTTCCATTGCTTTCCATTCACATCATTAGCTCCAGGAAGTTCCTCAGTCACTATTCATGCATTGGTATCCCCAGCTACAATTTTAATTCTATTCTCATTCTAGGCCAAAAGAAAAGAGCCTCTTCACTGTTGTTGAACAGTTGTCAGAAATGCAAGAAAACCTTGGTGATCTACTGCTAAGCACCCAGGTTTTTAGATTCTTATCTATCTTCTGACCAGCCCTGCCCTAAATAAGCAGGAAAACAAGGAGAGTAATTCTCTTGCACTTTTATGGAAAGATACAGAATGAGAGTTATTATCCTTGGTCATGTTACAAAGCTGAAAAGCAGAAACTGTACCTTCCTGACAGTCAAAATGAATTATTATTCAATGAATGGTCTTTTTATGGGCATCATTACAGAGGGCACAGGTTGTGGATCAGTCCCCCAGGACTTCCCTGGACAAAGATGATAATTCTGTTCTAGAAGAAATTGATGCTACATCAGCCAGTCAAGGTTTCATCTAGGCATCACTTTAAAGTAAATTACTTCCCCCGCTTAGCAGGGAAATAGACCTGTCAGGCATTGCTACTAGGAGCATACAGCTGATAAGAGCACTGGAATGATGAAAATTCAAGAGGATTCTACATGAAATGGTAGGCTTCCATGCGGGCAAGACCTTCCATACCTCTTGCTTAAGAAATCGGTATCAATTCTTCATCTATAGCAAAAAACGTTGATTCTTTATTATTTCCTCCCTAAAGAGTTACCTTTTCTTTCTTGCCAAATCCTCTGACTGCACAGAGAAAAAGAGAAGGAGCATATTATGACCATTCTCATCTTAGCAGGATCAGCAAGATAACTTTTGGCTTGAAAACTAATATTAATAAAAGTCAGTGGGATTATCTGGGGATTTGTGTGTATGTGTGATCATCATTATTATTTTCCAAGTACCAAATACTCCTGTTTTGATCTGGATAAGGATCAGCATGAGGTGACCATGACACCAGACTAACACTTTATTTTTAATAAGCTAGAAAGGATTTCAGCAAAGTGATTTGTGAAAAGGCTGTTTTCGGTAGCTGTATGGATTCCTCAAGGATACTGCTACCTAAAACTAATGTGCATTTACAAGAAATATTACAAAAGAAAAGCAAATCCACGTGTGCCCAAGATGTATATTATAAAGTAGACAGAACAGATTCTCTTTCTTTCTCTTCCTCCCTTTGTATCTGGAAAAAACATTCACACATAGGATAATACTTAAGTTTATAACAAGACATCATAGCAATATAATGTGTGTTGGAACATGGATTATAGTTAATAACAGTACAGAATAGCTTTCCATTGCCTTATTCCAGGTTTTTTCTTTTTATTTCCCAGTCTGGCTTATAGCCTTGGAATTTCCTGGTATTCTGTCATGCAAATGGTATCTCGGTTTGACCCACCTTAGTCTTTTCAAGATCAGCCAAGGTAATTTAAGTGAAAAAATTTAGACAATAACCAATGCTAAATATTATGCAACTTTAATATCACATTTGACATCAGTTATGGTAGCCATAACACTTGTATGAGGATGCTAACATACTGACAAATGAAAAAAAAAAGTGTATATGAGTTCTAATGGCATTAGAAAACCAATGGATGCTCATTCTTTTTCTCCCTTCCCCTCCCCTCCAGCTCTTCTTCTTTTTTTCTCAAGAGAGGAAGACTTCTGAGAATTTTTACTGAAGGCCCATAAAGAAAACAATGCCATATTTCACAGAGTTAAAGTTAAGGAGAAATGGCAGCAGCGTGCCTAGTTTCTGCAAGCAAAATATAATATCAATGAGATAATTTCAAAATAGAGTATATCCAAAATGAACTCTGAAACAATTTATGTATGAAGCAGAAAGAATGGATAAGAATAATCTTTTGGCAAAATTGAAATAAAAAGTGAAAACAGGAAAACAGTCCCACTCATACTTGATGGATGACATAAGAATACTCAACAACTGATAGTAAAGCCCTTAAATTTATTATCAGGAATTCTTAGCTATAAAAGAGAAAGTTATTTGTATTGAAGCATACTTCAACCCTGATCAATATGATGCTTCAAATTACTTTAAGAAAATATGATTACTGTATTCAATATATAATATTAATCTATTCCATAAAACCATGAATCAGATGGAGAGAGAGAGAGAGAGAGAGATCTTATTGTAAAAGTTGCATTAGGATGGACTACAAGATTTCAAGCCTCAACAATGAAACATTTAGTGGTCTTTGAACATAGAGAAACCTACTGAAAAAAAATCTAATTTTAGACCTAATGTATCTTTAGTGTATAGTGTATAGTATGTGCGTATGTGTGTGTGTGTATATGTATATGTGTGTGTGTGCGTGTGTGCGTGTGTGCGTGTGTGTGTAGTTACCCAGCACTTCAAAATAGTGAAGAG